CTGGGCCTGCTGCGGGCGCTGGTCTGCCAGGTGACCGCCGCCGGGGCGGGGCCGCGGCCGTGCCCCTTTAAAGGAGGTTATTTGTGCTTGAGAGGGGCGTCGGTGCCCTGAGCCTGGGGGATTAGTAAATAGGTGTTAATAGGGCCGCCAGGCGCTTTTAGGTTTTTAAGCTCCTTATGTCTTCCCTCAAACAGTCTTCCCAAAAGTTGGTCACCCTGCTTAAACCAAAACGTGAGAGGGAGGAAGAATTGGACAGGTTTTTAAATTCCGTACGTGAAATTTCTTTGAAAGCCCTCAATTTAACTGGCCATCGTAAAGTGGGTGCACAGCAGAGGCTGACGGGTTATTTCCTAAACCGAACTTCTTTGTGTCTTTCAGGAAAGTACTAAATTTAAGAATGTTTGGACTACTCATTCCAAGTCACCTATAGCCTATGAGAGGGGAAGAATATATTTTGATAATTATCGGTGCTGTGTCAGCAGGTACCTTTTTGGGGGGAAATTTTTTGCTGTAATCCGCCTCACGGTTGATCTTAACTCTAATTTTTATAGAATCTCATGCCTACATTAGAGCTTCGTGAAACAAGAGAGTGGAAAAATGTGTCCAAAACAGCTGGTAAAATTCGTGTAGTTTGAAAATCTTGTTAAATCTAAAGTGGCAGGTTTCATCTTTGTAAATACCACTTAAAGTGAGATTACTTTGTAGTGCAGGCAAAATGACACACTGCTCTCAGAGGCCTGTGTCGTAGTTTATTCTGCTTTAAAGGTATCAGAGTCAAGAGAGTCCGGTACCTAATAATTAGATGCTGCTTTAGAGGAGAATGTCTATGTTTTGTGGAAATATGTGCCGTTTTAAGAGGAAATTTTCAAATTTGCTCAACTAGAAAATAATATAGTGAAGCCCCGTATACTCATTACCTAGATTCCAAAGCTATCAAGATTTGGCCACGTTTGCTTTATCCCATCCTCTCTCTTTTTCCTTTACCTCTTTGCTAAGAATTTTAAAGCATATTCTAAACATCATGCTATATTAAGTTTGCTTTTCTAAAAAATATGGGTGTTTTTTCAAATGGCTTTATTAAGATATGATTCACATATACAATTTACCCACTTAAAATATACATTTCAGTGATTTTTGGCTCATTGGAATTCATATTTAATATGATTTTGATGAACTGTTGGTGATTCATATAGGCAACCATCACTTTAGAACATTTTCATTACCTCCAAAAGAAACCCTATATTTTTTAGCTATCGCAAAATTAAATTCCTCAGCCCTAAGCACCTGCTAGTCTACTTTCTGTCTTTATAGATTCACCTGTTTCAGATAAATTGAGTCACATAACATGTGTTCTTTTGTTACTGGCATCTTAGATGACCAGTTTATTATAAAAGGAACAGCCAGATGGAAGAGGTACATAAGGCGAGGTATGTGGGAAGGAGCACAGAGCTTCCATGTTCCCTGAATCTTCACATGTTCACCAACTGAGAAGCTCATCTCCTTTTCTTGTACATAGAGGGGAGGGCAAAAGTAGGTTGCAGTTGTGAGTATGCAAAGCACAGAGTTTATCTGTATGATTAATTATTGTGTTATTTTCCATATGAGCAACTATAAACTTACTTTTGCCCACCCCTCTCTGCACATTTAGCGCAATACATTTCCCTCTAAGCATTGTTTTTGCTGCATCCCACAAATGTCGATATGTTATATATTTGTTTTCATTTTGTTCAAAATATTTTAAAATTTCCCTTGAGATTTCTTCTTTTACTCCTGTTAATTAGTAGTGTATTGTTTAATATTCACATATTTGGGGATTTTTTCAGCCATCTTTCTGTTACTGATTTCTAATTTAATTCCACTGTGGTGTGAGAGCATACTTTGTATTATTTTCTAGTCTTTTAAATTTGTTAAGGTATATTTTATGGCCCAGATTGTGTCTATCTTGGTGAATTTTTTCATGTGAGCTTGAGAAGAATCTGTATTCTGCTGTTGTTGCATAAAATATTCTGTAGATGTCAATTAGACACAGTTGATGGATGATACTGTTCAGTTCAAGTATATTATTACTGACTTTCTGCTTGCTGGATTTGTTAGTTACTGACAGAGGTTGTACTGAAATGTGCAACTATAATAGTGGATTCATCTGTTTCTCATTATGTCCTATCAGTTTTTGTCTCACACATTTTGATACTCTGTTGTTAGATGGATACATGTTAAGGATTTTTATGTCTTGGAGAAGTGACCCCTTTACCGTTATGTAATGCCACTCTTTATCCCTAATAATTTCCCTTGTTGAAACCTGCTTTGTCTGAAATTAATATAGCTACTCCATCTTTCTTTTGATTAATGTTTGCATGGTGTATCTTTCTCTATCCCTTTATTTTTACCCTCTCTGTGTCTTTATATTTAAAATGGTTTATTTTGTAGACAACATATATTTGGGTCTTTTTTTTCAATCCACTCTGACAGCCTCTGTCTTTCAATGACTGTATTTAGACCATTTACATTTACAGTGTTTATTGATACAGTTGATTTAATAATTACCATATTAGTAACTATTTTCTGTTCATTGCCTTTGTTCTTTACTCCCTTTTTGTCTTTTATTCTTTTTATGCTTCCCCTGGTTTTAATTGAGCATTTTATGTGATTCATTTTCCCTCCACTTAGCCTATCAATTATACCTCTTTTTAAAAATTTTTAGTGGTTGCCTTATAAGTTGCAATATACATTACAACTAATCTAAATTTCTTTCAAGTAACACTCTTTTTAAAAAAATATATCTTTATTGATTTCAGAGAGAGGAAGGGAGAGAGAGATAGAAACATCAATGATGAGAGAGAGTCATTATTGATTGGCTGCCTTCTGCTCGCCCCCTGCTGGGGATTGAGCCTGCAACCCAGGCATGTGCCCCGACTGGGAATCAAACCTCAATCTCCTGGATCCTAGGTCCATGCTCAACTGCTGAGCCACGCCCGGCAGGCTCAAGTAACATTTTTCATAGGTAGTGCAGTTAACTTGTAATAGAGTATTTCTAATTCCCCCCTTCTGCCTTTTATAATATTGCTGTCATTCATTTTACTTATCCATAAGTTATAATCACTGAATACCTTGTTGCTATTATTATTAACAGGTTTTTATCTTTTATTAAGAATAAGAAGAATAAAGAATTTTGTTTTACCTTCATTTATTTCTTCTCTAACACTCTTCCTTTCTCAATGTAGATCTGAGTTGCTGACCCATATCATTTTTCTTCTCTCTGAAGAACTACTTTGAAAATTTCTTATAAGGCAGGTCTACTGACAGCACGTTTCCTAAATTTTTGCTTGTCTGAGAAAGTCTTATTTTTCCTCAACTTCTGAAGGATAATTTCTTGTGATACAGAAGTTTTGGTTGGTGGGGTTATTTTATCACTTTCAGTATTTTACTCCATTCTCTACTTGCTTGCATGGTTTCTAAGAAGAAGTCCAATGTAATTCCTATCCTAGTCCATCATAGGTAATGCACTTTTCCCACCCTCTGGCTTCTTTTTTATTTTCTACTGTTAGAATATGGTATGCCTAGGTATGATTTTTTTTGGTATTTCTTATTCTTGGTGTTCTGTAAGCTTCCAGAATTTGTGATTTGGTATCTAACATTAATTTTGGAAAATTCTCAACCATTATTATTTCAAGTGCTACTTCTGTTTTGCTTTCTCTTTTTTCTCCTTCTGGTATTCCCATTATGTGTACATTACATTTTTTTTTCTAGTTGTCCCATAGTTCTTGGATATTCTGTTCTGCTTTATTTTTATTTTTTCTAGTTTGGGAAGTTCTGTTTTTCTCATTTTTTTTTTTTTTTTACTTTCTAGTTTCAGAAGTTTCTGTTCATATATCTTCAAGCTCACTGATTCTTTTCTTGGCTGTGTCTAGTCTACTGATGAGCCCATCCAAGACATTCTTCATTTCTGTTAGAGTACTTTTGATTTGTAGCATTTCCTTTTGATTTTTCCGTAGGCTTTGTAAAAAAAAATCTCTGCTTAATGACTCATCTGTTCTTGCATATTGTCCACTTTTGCCATTAGAGCCTTTAGCATATTAATCATAGTTATTTTAAGTTCCCAATGTGATTCCAAATTCTAAATCACCAATAAATTCCCATCTAGGTTCCAATATCTTCACCATATCTGAGTCTGGTTCTGATACTTTATTTTCGAACTTTGTATTTTGCATTTTAGCATGCCTTGTAATTTTTGTTGAAAGTTGTATGTGATGCCCTGGCTGGTGTGACTCAGTTGAGTGTCCTCCCATGCACCAAGAGGCCAACGGTTTGATTCCGGGTCAGGGCACCTGCCTGGGTTGTGGCTCAATCCCCAGTAGGGGGCATGCAGGAGGCAGCTGATTGATGTTTCTCTCTCTCCCTCTCCCTCTCCCTCTCTCTAAAATCAATTAAAACATATTTAAAAAAAAAAAGAAAGTTGTATGTGATGTATCAGATAAAAGAAATTGTGGCAAATGGGTCTTTAGAGTAAAGTTTTATGTTTATCTGGCTAGGAGTTAGACTGTGCTTGATGTTTGCTGTAGCTGTAGGTGTCAGAGGCTAACACCTCTGTAGGTGTCCTCTAGTAATTCTGTTTTTGTCTCCCCAGTACTGACTCCCGCAGCTTGCTCCTGAGTTTTGCTCCTGGTAAGATGTGATTCTTTGTGTCTACCTCTCTCTCCAGTGTTGGGAGCTGCAGTTTGCCCTGTGAGCTCAATTGTTTGATAGATATAAGAGTTGTTGATTTTCATTTTGTTCATTTTTCTTTTCTTGTAGCGAAGACAGGTGGCATGACTTCTAAGCTCTTTACATGTTAGACCAGAAACTAGAAGTTAGGATAGTGTTTTAGGTAGTGTTTTAAATTTGTTCTGACTCAGGAGGGCTTCTCCTAGCAGTTTTTTTCTGATTCTCTCTGACAAGTTAGCCGCTTACAGTTTAGCCTCTATGGACAGTGAATCTACCAATCTTTTCCCATTTGCCTTTCATCACAATCATCAATGGTTTTGAGAGAGCACTTAGGCTAGAACTTCTCCACTCTGTTGCAGATGAAGTCAGTTCCTCTGGGAAGGGACTAGGGGCTATCCGCTTCATGCTCTGCTTCTCCCCCATGGCAAAGTCTTTGAGTCAAGGCTCTGGAGCTGTGGGGAGTTTGGGGGTCAATGGCATGCTTCTCTCTGAGTGATTACTCTAAAAGCTGACCACTTGGGGTTGGGACAGGCATTAGCCTCAGGTCTTCTTGCTTTCTCAGTGTGGAACACTGCTTTATGAGATGGGATAAGACAAATCTAGGCTCCAGTCTTCTTAGGCATGCCATGCCTAAGGTAGAACCTCTGTCCCATGAGTAGGGGCTAGGCAGAAGAAGGGAACCCCACCTCTTGACTTTACTCATTCAGGACTCAGCCCCAGCCACAAGCAGCTGGGGGATGGATAATAAATGCTGCCCCAGGAGGGTAGCCCTCTGGGAGCTGGGGTAGAGGGAGCCCTGTGCTCTTGGCTACATCTGCCTAGAGTGGAGTTTTTGTCTTGCTGAACTGAGAATAGTGGGGAGGGAACACATCCTAGTTCAATTACCACAGACTCACTCTTCTTACTGACTTCTAGTAGCTTTTCCTGACTACATATTTCTTCATCTCACGTATGCCCCCAGGACCATTTCCAGAGACTTTCAGATAGTTATCCTTTTATAATCTATACCAGTTTTCCTGGGGTGCACACCCACAGATCTCCTCATGTTATCATGCTGAAAGTGACAATCTGGACATCATAATGTCATCATACCTAGCAAAATGAGCAGTAATTCTTTGGTATCATTTAATGCCCAATTAATAGCTTTTCCAATTTAGAGGTATCTGTTTTAATTTTTTTTTTTTTTAAATCAGTGGAAGTGGCATTGGTAAGTAGTATCAGAATTCTTTAATATGCCATTCAGGGGTGTTTTACTTGTAGGTTAGAATTACATATGAGGTTGCTTTCATTCCTGTGAAATTCTCTTTGATTTGAGAAAACATCAAAGGTAAATAAAATTGTTACCCTCAAAATTGTGTCTAAATAGTAGTTTAGTTTTAAAGTTCATCAGTTAAAAAATGAAAACATCTGTGAGTACATTTCAGTAGTAATCAGAGAAGTATAAATGAAAGGTAAGAGACTTTCACATCAAAAATGTAGCATTTAATATTGGCAGAGCCTGGCCGGGCGTGTCTCAGCATCTACCTGGGATCCAGGAGATAGAGGTTCGATTCCCGGTCAGGGCACATGCCCAGGTTGCGGGCTCGATCCCCAATGACTCTCTCATCATTGATGTTTCTGTCTCTCTGTCTCCCTCTCCTTTCCTCTCTGAAATCAATAAAGATATATTTAAAATATATATATATCGGCAGAAGTATAAACTTGTTCAGCCTTTTTGAAAGGCATTTTGGGAGTAAACAAACCATAAAGGGTGTTTACCTTTTTATCCACTACATTCTAAAATAGTGGGACTCTTTAATTAATTTTCATTTAAAAATATTGGAGTAACAAATATTAACACCATGTAATTCAACCAAGATATTCATATTAAATGTTCATGATTCTGTTTTGGAAAATAACCTGCAGGTAGGTAAATGTATATAAAGAAAAACTGGAGGGAAATGAACTAGTGGTGGTTTTTGGTATTTTTACAGTATGAATCTATTTAAATTTTATATTTTTAAGATTTTTTCTATGAATATATATTATAAATTTTATAATCAGGAAAGATGTTAACATTTAATTAAGAAGAGAAAAACAAACTAGTAATTGTATTTTGGTAGTCTACATTTCTGAATAGAAAAAATCACTCAAACCTGGGCAAACACTGTCTCAGATATCAAGATGAGTAATCATTAATCATTTGTTTTCCTTTTTTTCCAGTGTTGCATCAGAGCCAAGAAAACTTTATGAAATGCCCAAATGTTCTAAATCAGAAAAAATAGAGGATGCTTTATTATGGGAATGCCCAGTGGTAAGATTTGTTTTCAGGCATTTGTTTCTAAAGCATTTTTAGCCTAGAACTGAGTATCGTTAATATATTGTATAAGGGAATAAAACTTAAATATAATAGTGATTCCTGAATCTTGAAAGGAATCAAGAGAGTGTATCTATTGTTTATTATTTTTCCTCATGAAATAATATTATGAATATATTTTTAAATTCAATACCAATTGTAAATCTTGTAAATTAGAAAGTTATGAGCCGATTAAAAGTTCCATAAGAAATAAAAACTAGTTTATAGTTATTCTTAGTGTTTAAGAAATCATTCTGCCCAGCCAGGCATGGCTCAGCAGTTGAGCGTTGACCTAGGATCCAGGCAATTGGGGTTTGATTCCCTGTCAGGGCACATACCCGGGTTGCAGACTCGATCCCCCGTCTGGGGTGTGCAGGAGGCAGCCGATCAGTGACTCTCTCATCATTGATATTTCTCTCTCTCTCTCTCTCCCTCTCCTTTCCTCTCTCTGAAATCAATAAAGATATATTTTTAAAGAGAAATCATTCTACTTACTATACTGAAACAAAATAATTTTGTTGCATGTTATGGGCGACAGTTATGTTATATGACTGTTTGAAATGGGAGTCTTATGAGTTTCTTCCAGGAATCTTGTTAGGAAAATCATAAGATAAACATGAAAAAAGAATGAGGCCCTGGCCAGGTAGCTCAGTTGGTTAGACATTCATCCTGATACATCAAGGTTGCAGGTTCGATCCCCAGTCAGGTAACATATAAGAATCAACCAATGAATGCATAAATAAGTGGAACAACAATTTGATGTTTCTCTCCCTCACTTCCTCTCTCTCTATCTAAAATAAAATCAATAATGTTAATAATATAAGCTCATTCCATTAGACCAGCATTGCCCTAGTATGTATTTTTCAAGACACTTTTCATTAGATGTTAATATCTTTTTTTTAATCCTCACCTGAGGATATATTTTTTCCATTGCTTTTCACAGAGAGTGCAAGGGGGAGAGAGAGAAACATTGATGTGAGAGAGACACATCGATTAGTTGCCTCCCACACACACCCTGACTGGTGCCAGGGATTGAGTCTGCAACCGAGGTACATGCCCTTGGCTGGAATCGAACCCGGGACCCTTTAGTCGGCATACCGGCGCTCTAACCACTGAGCCAGTCTGACTAGGGCAGATGTTAATATCTTAGAGTTGCTAAAGGAATTCAGAGGAATTAGGTTGTAGACAAATAAGTTTGGGATATTCTGAGTTTAAAAGGTTAAATTTATAGAATTACTTCTCAGAGCCTTTAATAGTGATAATACTTATTATAATACTAATGTGCGTGGTGATTGCCAAACCATTTTTCCAAACTCTTGATCATAGACCTCCTTTTTTTAGGTATATTTCTCAATTTTAGTTTTCCATGGGATCAGTGTAATAAGAAATGCACTTAGGAAGCACTACAACAGGTTAATCAGGTCTTTGAATCCGGTTGGTTGTTGTTTACGAAAAATAGAACTCGCAAGGATAAGAATGCTATACTTTGAATTTACTATTAAATTTTAAAAACAAACACAAACCACACTGTTTTTACATAAAATTGTAGCTTTCTGTAGCTACTGCTTTCTTTTTCCCTGGACACTTACTCTCTGTTCACAGAAGGCTCCATTTTAAAAAGTAGAAAGCTTTAAATCTGTTTCCTTCCCCAGCTCCTTATTGAAAGCTAAAAATAACTGCTGTGCCCCAACAGAGAAAGCCTTTGTATCCATTTTCACTGGTGCAGGGAGGAGGGTGACAAATTCCTTAATTGAGAAAAGTTTTGAAGACACTAGTACAAAGCACCAAAAAATTTGGAGCAGTCCTGTAAAAGTAGAGTTTCAGGTAACCTAGTTCCTAGTCTCACTTCTTGTTAAACATTTTATTCTCATTTGAAGTGAAGCAAGATTTTCCATTAAGAAAAACTAAGAAGCATACTGCATTGTTTTTAACATACTGATGTGAAACTGTTTAAATTAGCACCGTTCTATTCTGAGACAATGTGTGGAATATAACTTTGGTTTAAGAAAAGAGCTGAAGCCTATTATATATGCTCCTTCATATTCTTTTTTTTTTTTAACAGACAAAGTATAAATAGTATATTTTTTAAAAACTTAAAAATCTCCATGAGATGATACTTATATAATACACTATAGAATAAAAATTGATAAAAAACAAA